TTGGAAGGTTTCCTTTTAGTTAGCCAAAGGGTGTTCCTTTGGTTGAGCAGGGTTCTCAGTCTTGGCACTGAAGCATTCTGGGCTGGATAATACTTTGCTGTACACTGTAGGGATCTCTCCTGTACACTGTAGGCTGTTCGACAGCATCTCTGGCTTCTACATGGTAACATCATCCCCCTCCCCCCAAACAGCATTCTCTATTTTGATAACCAGAAATGTCTTCAGATTTGGCCCTATGGGCTCTGGGTGGAAAACAGGTTCCAGTTCAGACTCACTGGATTGGGCAAATATAAAGCTTATCCTGTGTCAGCTGTGTATCCTTTGAAATTTCCACATACTCTGCTTTTCAGAGATGGAAGGATATTGGAAATCAAAGGGCACCTTTTACTCAAAAGTGATGCACTGGGAAAGGAGTCCTCTGAAGGAGCAATTTACAAACTTGTTACCATTGTGGTTATACCATTATTTTGAAATTTCAAATAACATGTAAGGGTTATTGATTTTTTGGGTGTTTACTAAAAGTTTTTAAAAGATTGAGAAATTGAGATTGAGAATTAAGAAATAACCCAGAAAACAATTTCTTTTCTTTATAAAACATGCTACACTAAGAAACTGGGATTTTAGCATTTGAAATCTATTATTGTGAGGATATCATAAAACATTACTACCATTAGAATAATAATAACTACCATTAGAATAATAACAACGGCTGACATTTCCTGAGAGCTTGGTATGTTCCAAATACTATATGCTAAGTATTAACAATAGTTTTTTCAAGACTCAAAACCCCACTCGGGAGGTAGTACAAAAGTCTTATCTATATTTCATGAATGAGAAAACTGTGGCTCCTTGTCTCTCCCAGAACCATTTAAAATGCATTTCACAGCTTATTAAAAAATTCACACACACACACACAATAAAAATGTAAACTAAAGGTAAAATTGATACTAATGAATTCCACAATACCAGAGCAGCAGCCCTGACCACTGTGAACTTTATACAACTCAGCTGACTCATGTGCCTTTTCATTAAAGTGGTGGTGGCTCCAGAGGCTGAGGCAGGAGGATCTGGAGTTCAAAGTCAGCCTCAGCAAAAGGGAGGCGCTAAGCAACTCAGTGAGACCTTGTCTCTAAGTAAAATACCAAACAGGGATGGGGATGTGCATAGTGGTTGAGTGCCTCTGAGTTCAACCCCTGGTACTGCCCCCCCGCACCCCCAAAGGACTTAATTATTTTTGGTGACAGGATGTTACAGGAGTATGAAAAATTCACAGAAAGCCTAACTTAAAGGAAGAAATTTCAAATTTAATCTCTAATAAGACAAATGTGTTTATAAGGGTCTATACTAGCTGGTTTGTTCTCTCTCTCTTTCCTTTTTGTACTGGGGATTGGGGACTAAACTCAAGGGTGTCTACTACTGAACTACATTCCCAGACCTTTTCATTTTCCATTTTGTGACAGGGTTTCACTATGTTGCTGGGGTTGGCCTTGAACTTGTGATCCTCCTGCCCCTGTCTCTGGAATTGCTGGTATTAACAGGCCAGTACCACTGCTCTGGCTCCAGCCAGCTTTCTTGAAACACTTACTTATCATACATTAAAAGTGCTAATGTAAATTTCAATGGTTTAAAGTCACAGTAAGAAGCTGTGGCAAAAATACAGTGGCTTACTAGTACTTGAAATAATTGGGGCTTTTTCATAATACTTCCTGGCAGCTACACATTTCTACTCTACCTCTAGTAAAAGGCAAACAGAGAACAGCAGGTATTGTGGCCATTTGGGGTTATTCCTGTTGTTTGAATTCTGAGCTACTTCTGTAATATGGATGATGGACCACCCCCAACAACTCCAGAAGGTGAGCTACCAAAAATAATCTCCTTCCAGATGTAGATGACACATTCGCCCCTCCTGACCCTGTGAAAGTGAAGTGATAGGCACCAGAGAAGCCAAGTAAACCAGCTGCTGCTCCTGCCAGTGACAGGAAATAGCCCACCCTGTCTAGGACTGGCGAGACTGGCATGAATAACAGCTATCTTACTTTCTCAGCATGAACGAGAAATGGAAGTATTTCTTTCCTGGATCATCACAAAGCAAGTGAGTGAGTGGTAGCGTGTTCCTTGAGCAGCTCACTAGGTGATTCTAAATGCTGTCGTGTGTGTGTGTGTGTGTGTGTGTGTGTGTGTGTGTGCGTGCGCGCGCGCGCGCCATGTGCAGACACTGTGGCACCAATTCTCACCCTGTCTAACTTTGATGGTGGTCATGATGCCTCTTCCACCCATAGATTCCTCCCACATTTCCTCAGGCTGGGTTAGCTGCCCTACAGTATTTCTGCAACCTTAGGGGCAAGCAGATACTGCGGCACAGAGGGAGAATCAACACCAGCTGGCCATGCTCTGGTTGTGTAATGTCTGCCCCATTGACCCAGTTTCTCATCTCTATATGGGAGGATTAATAACGCCCACTGCCATGCTTGTCGTAAGGATTAGAAACAATACTGTACTTAGTGCAGTATTTGTACTTAGTACAGGGGCTTAGTGAGTGACAGTAGTTGTTAATGATGATTACCTTGATTTTTTTTAGTTTGGTTTTAATGGTAGTCCTAGTGTACCTAGGTAAGGTGCTGGGATGTCAGCAGTATTTTTCACTCCATATTCAACTCTGTTGAGTTATAAGTTAAATATGGCTCCATTTAAATTTCTAGCCTATTGGTTTGAAAATTGAGATCTATGTCTGTGTTATGAAATTGACAGTTCCTACATCAGTAGTGAAAAGTTAAGGATTATGGGTTCTTTAACAGGCCATTCGAGCTCTGAGTTCTAATATTTAAACTCTCATTTCTGCTATTTTCTATGTATTGCTTGGTTGGTAGGTGTAATGCTTTGTGTACTACCTGATGTCATTTCTGCTCTTGAAATTACTATTATTATGCATTATAATTATAAAAGCTGAGCTGGAACATCAAGTACTAGTATTGTGAGTGCTTTTTAAAAATCAAAAGTGTATCTTGTGAGACTTAAAACGGTTAACACAGCAAGGCTGCTGGCTACAAGAGTGCTAAGTTTGGATAGAGTAGTTCTCTATGCCAAAGGCTTTCAAAGAACAACCAAGAGCTCTGAGTTCACTGACAGTTTGCCACTAACGACCATCTGAGCATCCACAAATGAAGAAAACTGAGCCAAATATGACCACCATCTAGTTCAACCCCTCAATATACAGATGACGAAGGCAACGAATAGCATTTGCTTGCCAACAGTGAGTCCACAGTTACAAGGACCTTCTCAATGAAGACTTCACATATTTTAGGTACAACTTTGGAATAATGCTCAAAGAGTTGTGAGTAAAATTTAGGCCCCAGCATGATGCTGTTCTGACTTAGCAACCAACCCAACTCTTCAACACCCATGGATAACCTTTGCTTCAGGGTCCATGTGAAAGGTAGATTCAGGCTTGGAGTCCTTGTTCCCCTCAATTCAGTCTCCCTGATATCTTAGCAGTGGCCCTACATTACAGAAAGATCTGGTAAGGTACAGAGGCCTGAGTGTGCCTGTAACCATAGCTACCACCCAGCTTTCATAAGTGTGATGTCACATCCTTCTGACGTACAGTCGTGGAGGAAGGGGTGGTAGAACTGGAAATCAGTGTGGGGGGGTGGGGTGTTCCCTCAGCATTTGGCTCTCATTAGCTATGGCTCTAGTCATACCCACTTAATTAACAGCAGGACCTTGGGAAAAATGTCAGTAAAGGGGGATTTGAATTGTAGTGTCTGGTCAAGGCCCTTTTAGCTGGAAATTCCTATAGTCCTACGATTTTACTCGAAGAGCAAAGATTTCCACCCTCAGCTTAAACATCCATGATTCATAATATATAATATTTTGACTTAAGGAAAGAAGTTTTATTATATTGTGCAGTCTTGGATAGCTAACCCAAAGCAATGTCAGTTACAGCATTACGAAAGCCCACATCCCAGGCAGCTAGACTTCTGGCCGCCTTAACCATTGGGAACACGGCAGGCTGTGACAGAAGTATGTAATTGCAAGAAAATTCCATTCACTTAACTCCTGAGGAGTTAGGAGGCATTAGCCTTGATTCTTTTTGGAGCAATTAAGATAAAATGAAGGAAAGAGATTAAAAATGTAGGTTTTCCTGGAGCAGAAGCTCTTCTGGGGATTGTTCACTGGTTAAAGGGGAGGGCCCAACAGGAATGAAATAAAGGAATAATCTGCCACTCCAGAACAATGATCTTTTTACTCCCCCACCCCCCTGCCCTACTTTATCACACAGCAAATGCTGAGGAAAGCAGATTAACTCCTTCAGGTCAATCAGATCAGGCCTGGGTTTTTAGACAATTACTTCTCACATCTAAAACAAGAAGTGTACCGATTCCCCAGGACTCTATCCTCTCTCTGGCTGGGCTTAGGAAGGTCATTCACACTTTTTGGACAGAAACTCATTCATTAAAAACCCAGGGTTCTTCTACTGTCCTGTGCCATTCTTAGGATTGCATCCCCCTTCCCTCTTGGCCTCAGTCTGGAAACTTCAGACAGATTCCCAGGAACACGAGATGACCACTGCCAGTGGCTGAGAATTGGCACAGAGATTTCTTTTAAGAAGTGTGGTCTTCAGATCCACAGTGGATGAATTAAACTGACATTCAATGATAAACAACTGCTATATTGTTTATACAAGCCATTTCCATGAAAGAAAACAAGACTCCCTTACAAATGGAACATGTACTTAGGGTCTCTATAATGGTTTCAAGTTCATTATGTTATAGAATTCCAAGAAGCCTTCAAAAGACTTCAATGTTTGCCTTTTGTTTTCTCATCAATGAGTGAAAAAATGAATTAATTACTGCTTTGAATTTTTAAGAATATATATTCTCTCTCTTGCCTCTGAAAAACAAGACAAAATAGTATTTTTAAGTGATTTCTATGAGAACAACTAGCATGAAGGGTGCTGGCCTGCAAGTCTATGTTTATATTTTATGATATTCAAAGCCTACCTCCTCCTTTCTCCTTCTCATCCTCTTCTTCTTTCAGCAGCTTGCCAATGGAGTTATACCACTTAAATTGCAGTTCAGGGTTGCCATAAACACTACAATTAATCAAGGCACTGTTCCCTTCCTTGACTATGATATGGTCGGTTCTGGTGATGATTACGGGCACAGAGCCCAAGACCACGTCAGTGCCATTTAAAGTGCTGTTAGTCACACTCTCAGCAGTTGCTAGAGTGGACATGAGGATTAAAAAGGGCACAGAAGGTAGAAAGCACAAAGTCAGATGGCTCTTCAATAGATCCATCTTCTTTGCTTGCTCGGTAAGGCAATAGATGGTTTGCCAATGGAATCTTGTCTCAGACAGCACACTGTTCAGAATGGGCCATGGGGCAAACCTGTCCTGGATCCATGGAGTTGGTGCTTGATTAAGAACCTGTTAAAAGAGGAAAAACCACACACACATAAATATTAGCATTTATACTTTCAAATGCTATTTGTAAAAGGATAAAACATTTTAAAAAGATACTCTTTATAAAAAGTAAGCAATCCAGCTAAAATACAAACCCACATCATTTTTAAACAAGACACAAATCCAGAAGGTGTTCCAATGTTAAGTTCTATTTTTCACAGAAATCTTAATAGTATAACTTTGCTGTTAAAACATATAGCTCTTATAGGGCTCGGGTTGTAGCTCAGTGGTGGAGCGCTTACCTTGCACGTGTGAGGCCCTGGGTTTGATCCTCAGCACCACATAAAAATAAATAAATAAATAAATGGAGATATTGTGTCCATCTACAACTAAAAAAATTTTTAAAAAATATAGCTCTTAGTAGGAACAAATATATTCCTTTTACATTGATGTTACCTTATTTCATGGAGTTCAAAAACTGAGGCTTCTTTCATACAGCATTACAAGGTTTCTTTCTAACCCGTCACCTGTCTTCATTGTGGCCTTATTGATCACGGGAGGTGTTTCCTAGTCTCTTCCAGTAAACATGGCTTCCAGCCTATCTCACTGCTTCCTGCTCCAGGTCAGCCAGCATTTGGAAGGACTCTCTGGAATGAATCTGCCATTCTCAGAACTTGCCATTATGACTTCCAGGACATTCCTTCCCTGCACCTCATGCAATTTCCCCTGCACATGTGAACTCTCTGCCTCCCTCTCTCTCTCTCTCTCTCTCTCTCTCACACACACACACACACACACACACACAATCCCCTGGTTTCAATACTCATCTGCCTCCTTGAGGCAGGGGGCATCATCAGGATGTGTGGGGTGGCACTTAGGGTGGCTACGCTTCCATGTCAAAGAGCTAACCTTCACCTACTCAATTCTCCATTCCAATCACTAATCCTGCAGCCACACCTAGTCTACAAATTCTAAGTTCTGAAGTTCCAAGTAATTATGAAGTTCTAAATAAATCATCTTTTAACTGCAATTGGCCATCCTTCCAGATCTTACTCCCCTCCCTAGGCTTTCCAGGTTTTGTTGTGTTTGTTTCGTTTTGGTACTGGGCCAGGGGTGCTCTATCTTTGAGCTACATCCCCAGCCTTTTTTATTTTTATTTTGAGGCAGGGTTTCCCTAAGTTGCTCATGCTGGCGTTGAACTTGTGATTGTCCTGCCTCAGCCTCCTGTAGCAGGAATTAACAGGTGTGCCTGATGCTTTCTAGCACTTCTGTGTTTCTCAGTCTCTGTCTCTTTGCCCCCTCCTGATCTGTAAGCTTTGTTTCTGTCTCAGTCCAGACTCAAATCATATAGACTACAATCCCCCAAATCCTCAGTTCCTGTCCTCATGCCACATGTACTCTGTCAGTCCATGACTTTGATCAAACCTGTTATCCTAGCTCCTACATCCCAGAGGCTGGAACACACTGGAGAGATCCGTAAAACCAAGTAATTATTTCCAAAATGAAGGAATGATCTCCGACCTCACCGGGCCCTCAGTGACATCTGGCAGTCTGCTTGCCAGTGCTCAGCGTGCTCAGTGTCCTGCTTCCTTACTGGCATGGGCATCTTCAGCTTGCCAATCAACCATCTCGGCACAGTGGTATTCCTACTTTTTCAAAACAAACCAACACCCCCTTTCTTCTGTACTAAAACGTGCAGGCATGAATTCCCTCTTCCATCTTCCTACCTTTTGGAAAGCATCCTGTGCCTTATGTTAAATCCCTCACCTGCCATTCACTACTCCTCAAACTACCGTTTTCAGAATTTTATCTGCTTTTTCCTTCAACAGCTCTTGTTCAGGGCTACCTGTCACTCCTAGTTACCAAGTTCTCATCCTCTCCTTACCAAATATTTGAGGCAACTGAAACTGTTAACCATTCTTTCTCAAAACTCTCCCAGGCTTCCTCACTCACCTTCCGGATTGCTCTCATTACCTCCAGAGTTTCACTGGCCTCTTCTGTGTTTACCCACAGCCCTTTCCAGGTTCCCATCCCAAGCCTTTGCTCCACTCACAACCTAACAATGCCCAAGTCCACGTTCTCAGTCCTCTTTCTGATGTTAGATTGATGTGATAATTTCCCATTGGTTGTCTTTACCTGGACCCTGGATGTCTTACTGACAATTTCACCCAGCAAAACTGAACTCATCATCTACAAAACATGCCACGTTTCTCAGATGTCTATTTTTAGTTTTAGGGACCACCATTTGTGCCGTGTCTGGGTATATCCTCAATTCCTCCATTGTACGCTCCCAGAACACTGAATCACACATTGTTAATTTCACTCTCTAAATACTTCTTGGATTTGTTCCATCATTGCCATCTCCTCTTATCAAAAACTGTGTGGTGGTAAGCCTCAGTTCAGGTCTCCCCATCTTCTCACGGGAAACCATGTGCCAGCCTTCCACATAATCTGCCCACCTTCAGTTTTTCTTGCTTCCCATCCGGTCCCTATAACCACTGCTGGAGGTACCAATCTATTACCTGGATTTTTTTTTACCGTGGTAAAATTGGCAACAGTGCCTGCATTATAAAATCTGAATTTCTTTGCTTTTTATCAATTCAAAAATATTTACTGAATATCAATATTTTTGGTCCTGAGGAGACAAGAGAAGACAAGAAAGACCTTGAAACAGACAACAGATGAAGTACATGTGTCAACAAGGATTTCAGTTAGTGATGCACACTTTGAAAAACACACCACAATGTGCTCAGTGCTGAGTGAGGCAGTCAGGGAGGACTCTCCTGAGGAGGTGGCCCCTGAGCCAGGACCAGTGATACTAAGACTGGGGTGAGGAGTGCTTTGAGAAGAACAATCAAAGCAAATACCCAGGTGAAGCAAGCAAGGGAAGGAGCACTGCAGGATGGGCTGGAGAAGTGGACAGACCTAGATCACCTGAGACTCCGTAGGCCAGAGTAAGGAGTTTGGATCTTATTCAATGATCACTGGGAAATTCTATGCCAGGGAGTTACAGGGTATTATTTCTTTTTAAAAATCAACTTGACTGTGGTATAATTTATGTATAATAAAGATGCCTATTTTAGGCATGCATTTTAATGAATCTTGACAAATTTACACATCCATGTACCTACCACCATCAACAAGATGCAGAACATTCCTATCACCACTAAAAGTCCCCTGGCGCCCCATCCCAGTTTCAGTGTTCCTATGGGTCCAGTGCTGTTATTTTTGAGTATTCTCCCAAAGAGTTAAGTTTCATTTTCTCCCCATATGGATATCCAGTTGTTTCAGGACCATCTGTGCAAAAGATTCTTCTTTCCTCAATGGACTATGTTGTCTTCTTGTCAGAAACCACCATGGATGGGCAGGTCTGTCCCTAAACTCATTATTACATTCTGCTGATGTGTATGTCCATCCTCATGCCAAAACTACATGACCTTGCTCCCAACACACAGGATGTTCCGTGAACTTGCTGAATGAACACAGATCTATCCAAGGGCAGAAAGGACGATTCCATTTGGTATGCAATCCCTGGTGGTAATAAATTAGCTTTAGACTGCATAATTTTTCAGTAGAAGAGAGTTTCCTTGGTGGGTGGATTTCCATACTCCCCTCCTGACTTCACTGCCTGAGTGCCTTAGTGACCAGCACATCTCCCTACCAGCAGAAACCCTGGCAGAGGGAGATAGCACAAGCTGCGGTTGCACCCCAGATACTGCTGTGACTCTGGAAATGTATTTCTTTACTTGGCTGAACTTGTGGTTTCCTTTTATCAGGCGGCTGTAAGCTGACGTATTCAATATAGAAGAGTCATCAAGAGCACAGCCCCAGGTTTTAGACAGAAAGGGCCAGGATTGGGGTCCTAACCACTTTGATTGGCTGTGTGTATTTTGGTTAAGTACTTAACCAAGCACAGGATAATGATAAAGATTCGTGATCAAATGTACATCAAATACTTACTGCTTGGCTTGATAAACAAGAATTATTAGCAGCATGTACAAAGCATCCTTTACCGGAACTGGGCTTCTTCAGTCTATTTTTAAGTTATGTCATTTAAAAGACATACCTTGTTTGGGTTTTGTTTGATACTTTCTTGACTATTGTCCCACCCCCAGAAGTCATTACAGATATCCAGCACAGGGTTCTTTGCAGGGACTCAAGTCTGAAAAAGTGTGAGCTGTCCCTCTGAGCTCAAATTACAGTGAGTATCCTGAAGGCAAGAGCTGGGGTCACTTCTCTTTGACTCCTGATGCCTAGGCCAGAGAAGATGCCTGACTAAGTACCTCCAGTTGAGGGAAAGAGAATCAGAGACAAGACACGTAGGAGATAGGTCCTAGCAAATACGTGGAATTAATACACATTTTTTTTTTTTCACCATTAGGGAGAATGTAACAAATGCAAGATCAAACTGAATTTTAAAATGTATAAGTCAAGAGCTATTTTCAAGTTTTGGTGTTTTACTTTAAAATACAGTGTGCTAGCAAGAATAAAAAGAAGGGGTTACTGCTGTGCTACGATATTTTAATAATGTCAGTAGGCACTTTGGGCTGGAATACTGACTATTCAGAAGTGGAAACTAGTTTCTTAGAATCCTCAAGAGGTACAGAGACAGAGATGTGCTCATTTTAATGTGGGAAATGGTTTCCCCTCTCTTCTCCATTCTTACTCCCATCCTGTACCATTTTAAAGTTACTAAGGGATAGAAAATGATGCACAATTTACAGACTGTATTGAAGCATTTTTAACTCTAAAAACTGTGAATATCTATTTTTTAAAATAAAGCATTGAATTGACTACCATAAATGAATTAATAGCTTTAGTAAGAATTCACTGTATCATGTACCATACCCTTTCAGTTGTGATTCAAAAAAAAAAAAAAAAGCATTTGTTATGTGCTGGGCACCCTGCCAGGGACTTAGGGGCTGGGGAATGCTACAGAGCTCAGTAACTCATAGGCCACATCCACTCATGATCCAGTCAGGGGTAGAGAGACAGAACATTTCAGCCTAATCTCTAGGAGTGGG